TGTGAGTATGTAACAGATGTGATTCTTCAATCTGTATTTGGGGTAGAAATGGGAGTTCAAAACCCAATTGAGTCAAATGTATAAAAGATGATTTATCAAGAGCTCTGTAATGTTTTGAACAATCAATAAAAAAATGTAAAATAAAGATATCATGTCCACCTAAACCTTTAGAATAAACATTGAATTTTTTTTTTAAAAAGAAAAGTTTGAGTGAGCAACTTTCCTAGTTTCTGACACAAATGTCTTTTTTTTCCCATTACGTATGAATGTTGTTGTACGTTTTGGAAGACATCATTTAATAAGTTGAGGAAATTTCCTTGAATAAGTTTTTGCAAGGATAAATATTTCCTTTCTTATTTAGAAACAAGAGTTGGATTCATATTAATATTACACTAAATTCTGAGTTGCCAAAGATAGGAGGGTATTGGGACAGTTTGAGCAAAGTCACTTACCTAGAATGGCGAGCTGGGTCCCAGCACCAAAGATATATCACAGTGATTGAGGTATGACTTGTATACAAATTCTACACTAATTTCAAAAAACCTAGGTGCACGTCTTAAATACATCCATTGTCAAATAGTCCAGATGCTAAGGTTAAAATCATGGTGATCTCAATGCAATGCATAATCTTCCAATGTACTTTATTTTTAAAAATAAAATCACATTTGGCAAAGACACCATCAATTCTTAGAGTATAACTTCTGTAATTTTCTTTTTATTTTTCTTTTAACTATCTTAATGGTCTATTGTGTTGTGGTATAAGGTCTAGGAGACACAAGGTGATTCAATCAGGGAAAGCATTCTAAGATGATTCCAGGCCACTGACTTGGAGACAAATTGCTGAAATGAGGACACTGCAGGGGATCAGATTTTCAAGGAAATGTATTTAGTTGAAAGCTGTTGAGTTCCAGGTGCCTGCCAGACATTCAAGCAAAGATAGGGTCAAAAATCAAAATAAATGTAGATATGGATTGGAGAAGAAATTTCAGAGCAAGAAATAAAGATCTGAGACCCCTGGGCAATTGTGGAGTGCATCATAAGAGTCAAATCAAAGACAGTGGGAAGAGTACAGAGGAAAACCACGTGGTCATGGTTTAGGGTCATCAGGTATGCATGGGTCAGAAAATAAAGAAAGCTATAGGGACAAGAGAGTGGACCATCTCCATAACCAGGGAGAAAGGAATGTCCAGAAAAAGGGAACTGATGCACAGGCCCCAGGTTACTGGGAAAGACGTACAGATTGAGACAATGGCCTTTTAGACAAAGACTTGAGAAGTTTCAGAAAAATATGAGAGTGAGAGCCAAGGTAATCCTACCATGTTCTAGAATGCAAAACAGTTCCTGGTGTATCTGGGTGTTTCATAAACATTTTGGATGGATTAATGGATAGATGGATGGATGGATGAATAGATGGATGCATGGATTAATAAATGGAAGTATGAATGAATACAAAGAGTGGTCTGAGAGATCAGGGAAGGTTTCATGAATGTGGCGGGACTGCACTATGTCTTCATGGAGAGAAATGCAAGTAGAAGAGTCTCCATATGGAAGTTCCTTAAGTCAGGCATGACCCAGTGTCTATGAATCCAGCAAAGAAACTTTCGGGATTGGAGGACTGGGTATTTGTCTAAAGGAGATTAAGAAGTTCTAAAATGAGGCCAGGAAAGGTTGAACAGGTCCAAGCCAGCTCAGGACTCTCTCCCACATCACATAGCCACTTCAGAATATGCTCCACTATAGGATTCTTGGCAGTAACTATGCTTAGCTTTTCTGTCAGCACTGAGAACCTCAGAGATAGGAGACACACAAAGGATATCTTCAAAGCCATGTGCAATGAATGCCTGGGACAGGACGATGAGTGTCTGGAGAACAGTCAACAACCTGCAGTATGCCAAGGACACAACCCCACCCATCACACCCAATAGTTTCCACTCTTGCCCAGCCCCTAGGGGGCAGACCCCAGGTGCTGACTCTGAGGGTTTTAGTTCAAGCCTTAATCACTGTGGTATGTCTTCGGTAGTGGGACCCGGCTCACTGTTCTAGGTAAGTGGCTCTTCTGACTTTTCTCACTCTGTCATATACCCCTCCTGTCTTGGGAAAGTCTATTTTCTCTCCTTAAGGGCTTCCTATCTTTTTCCCTACCCTGTCTTAAGAAAATACCACTTACCTTTCTCCATGGGGTATAGGGGAGGTTGGTGGTCATGTGGTAGCCAGCAAGAAGGATTGATCAACAGAAGAAGCCACCTTCAGATTCCAACAGTTGGATATGGCCTTGTCCTGGAAGCTTTGGCTGAAAACAGGGAGAGGGGTCCCTTTCCCTCCTCTGAGGCTGAAGACCATGTGGGGACCAGGTTCCAGGTCTAATTAGGGAAGACTCGGCCATAGTGAGAATTCACAGGACCTCAGAATCTAGGCTGAGGGCTGAATGTTCATCCATTTTTGGAATGCTTCACATAATACTCAGTGACAAGACTGGAGTAGAAACCCTAGCCCCTGGGCACTCAAGAGGTTATCCCAAATAGACACCAACACAAGACAGATAGAGAGAGATCTGGCTCACTCTAGGGTGCACCTATCTGGTCCTCTAATGGGCCATGTGGGCAGAGGGATTCAGAGCCAGATTAGACTAAGCAAGATGACCAGAGTCCAGCCCTGGGAGGGTGGTCCTCAGAAAGAAGCAAAGACTCCTCTGTCCCTGGAGCCCCTTTACCACAGGGAATGACACCTTGATTATTCTTGCATCAGACTCCTGCCTTCCTCAAAGCACAAGTTAAATTCAGGAGATGATAAATGAGAAAGCAATTGGAAGTCTCAGAGATCTATTTGGCTGCTAGGTGAATTCAAGGGTCATCAGGGACTGTGAGGGTAGGTGAGGGCTTCTGTGCCCCATACTCTGGGGCAAGGAGTGGTCCCAAGAACACAGCAGAGGCAATGGACTTATAATGAGGAGATGGCAGACTTGAAGGAGCCTCCTCTTGTCTAGGTACAGCACAATTCCTTGCCAAAGAGCTGAGAGGAACAGGCTGGAGCAGAACCTGATACAGAGGAGGACAAGGATTTCAGGAACCCTGTGAACTGAGTACAGGCTCAAGACTTCCCCACACCCACCAGAACCATCCTTCCATCCTGGATGGACAAAGTTCACAGAGGAGGTTCTGGGCACTAGAAGGAAAGAGAGATGGAAATATGGACTGTGGAGAGGGCTCTAAAAGTCAGGGCCAAATTCCAAACTCAGACTTGAGATCAGGGGAGAGGGTGCACAACATACTCTGGTGATATCTGGTAAACTAAGGTTACAAAGGGAAGGGACACAGACTATCAGGGAGAGATAACTTGGAAAGGGCTGTCTGTTCTTCAGGTGGCTTAAGTTCACAAGAAAGGAAAGAAAAGAGAAGGAGAGTCCCTCAGGGGAGAAGGAAAACCACAATGAAAATGGTTACAGAAACTTGGGGTTATCCCCACCAGCCTGGCTGTCCTCTGCTCACCCATATCACTTCTCTATCCACACAGGTCAGCCCAAGTCTTCCCCCCTTGATCACTATATTTCCATCCTTTTCTGAGGAACTACAGACCAACAAGGCCACACTGGTGTGTCTGATCAATGACTTCTACCTGGTGCTGTGACTGTGGCCTGGAAGCAAGATAGTACCACAATCACCCAGGGTGTGGGGACTACCCAGGCCTCTAAATGGACCAGCAACAAGTACATGGCCAGCAGCTACCTGACTGTTACACCTGACAAGTG